ACCTATTAATTTTTCGTAAAACAACCCAGTTGCTCTCAATTTGGGGTGCATAGTAAGAAGAGCTACAACGAGTTAACGAAATACTAATCCAAGAGATTATTTGATGCCCGTCATTTCCAGTGTCCCTATTGTTTCTACTAGTGTGGTAGAGGATGCTAATCAAAAGGATTACACATACAGTTCGCAGTATAGGCGATAAAGTTATGCGAGACCCAAGAATATGGAAGATTCATAAACAAGTAGAAACTTCATCAAATTATTCAACATGTTCACAAAATCAAACTTCATAAAGCTTTCATTCCCATAAACAAGTAGAAACTTCACCAAATTATTCAATTTGGGATTTATTTTCTAAATTGGTGTAAAGATAAATTTACATTTTGAAATGGAGTTGTGAGGGTTTAGATAGTAAATTTGGGTTCAAAGAGATATTAATTCTTTAATTAAAAATAATAGGAGTGTAGAAAGTAAGTCGAGTGTAGAAAGATGTTATATGGGTTCAAATAACACTTCTCTTTACTAAATCCGTCAAAAAGATTTTCTTGTCACTAATTTCTTCCTTTGAACTTATTATATATGGTCGGTTTTCCCTTCAACCATCTTTCCTCATATTTAGAGTATGATAGATAACTATTTTTTTCCCCCTTCACTTTTTGTATTTGAGATATGAGAAAAATGTATAGGAGATGATGGATGTTGAAGGGCGATGAGAGGAGAGAATGGAGAGAGAGGATCCTCGTTGGATTCTTTTTGTGAGGATTCTGGAGATCCTCAAATCACATTTGTTCATCTTACATCGTGTGACCAATTTTTGTTAGATACTATTTATATTCAATTTCAAATAAAAAAATTTACAATGATTTCTGATTGCACAATATACAATAAACAAATGTGATTGAAAAATCCCCAGAATTCTTACAAAGAGGAGAATGAAAACAAAAACTTAAAAGTGAAAACAACTTGAAATAAATTTCGGTGTTTTAATTTTAGTTTTCATTATGTATACCATTTTTTATACATTTTTACATCTATCATACCATCATTCTTCCGCTCCACTCTTTTTCATCCATCTTTCCCTTGTATAATTTTCTTCAAATCTCAAGCCCGTAAGATAAAAACTAAAATCAAAATGATTATCAATCGAGTCAAAAAACATAAGAAAAGTGGCCTGAATAAAAGTTTAGGGAGCAAAGTGACTGTAAGGTACAGAGGTAAATAGGCAAAAACCTAATACGATGATCCTCAAAACAACTGAAGTTCGCTACTTCCATAAACATTTTGTCACAAGGTACCTGCTTTTTCCAATCCTATCCGTACCAAAGAATTTCAATATCTAGAAGAATTATTATCTGTAGCTACATTCGACCCCCACGCAAAACGGCTTCCTGTTCCATCGAGAAATCGATCGGTATGCCACCCGTTGGCCTGCAGTTCCGATACAAATGGACCAAATACGTCATTCATCTTCTCGTAAGCCTCATCCAGTGCGCTCGAACTCGGCACATGAAAAGACTTCTCTATATCTGCAGCGTATCCAGCAACAAGCCACCCTCTCAATGCGTCTTCACCGGTAGCATTTTGCTCCAATATCATGTCAACCCCTTTGTTTCCACGATTTAAAAGAAACTTTTCTTCGGGGAATATTTCTTTCAATTCACCAAGTCTTGAAGGCTTAATGACCTTGTGGAAAGACCGTCCCACTCTCACATTTCCGGCATCCTTTATGAGCCGCCCCGGGAATAGGAGGTCTTCCCGATACCTCAGGTCGGCCGGGCTTGATACTTTTCCTGTCTTAAGAAAATCAGCCACAATCATTGCAGTCCTCTGTGGATTCAATGTGTTGATAGGAGTTGCCCGCATTTCTTCAATAACACAGTATACATGCACCATTGAAAGAAGAGGCCCAACAACCATCTGCAAGAAGTTAAAGATCATCAGAATCTATTTCCTTCAAAAGGAAATTAGAAATTCACAACTACCGTACGAAACAAATTCAGAATAACACACATAACGCAATATTCACTGCTGTCATAACACACGAGTGATGCAAACCTGTTTTTAACTCTTAGTTTGAAAATGGGTTTTTGGCGCAATTACGAACACAATAGAATTAAATGATGAGGCTGAGTGGTAAAAATTGAGAGTTACACAGTGGATTATATCCACTACCTTTCCTTGCATGGACGAGCAGACAGTAGATGCTAATTGGATCCCTGCTCCTATTCCAATGACATTGAACACAGTTGAGATTGCCTCCCCTTTGGCAAACAGATCACTAAGATTGCCCTCTTTTGCAAAGGCTGAATAAATTGGTAATCTTGTTGCTCTCGCTGCAACAACTGCCATCCCCTGTTAACTTCAAAGGTAAAAATCTTAAAGAACAATCTATAAAATTATATTTTAGGATTGGAGAAGGGACTCAAACTTTACACTGACATGGTACTAAATACAAAGACAGTTAAATAAATTTCAACGACAAGGAGGTTTGAAAAAAGAAATTAATATGCACATGTATGCATCTCTATGAAAACTATACCTTTGCAAAATTGCCTAAACCTGCGACTTGAAGAAAAAGCTGCGGACACAAAGGAGAAAGAATTTCCATGCCAGTGCCAAAGTCATAGAGAACGTCAGCTGCAAGGCGGAAAGCTTAATCTAATTAAAAATCTTCTAAAAGCATTAAAATCACTTCCGACCAAAAACATATAGTTAGATATGAATTAAAGCTCCCAAACAGACCCAAAATTCTCCAACGTTTAGGCTCGGAATCCATTCTTGCGCCCAGATTGCTACATATAAGCTTTCCCATGTGCTGCATCCCATCCTTCAGAACCTGCATGTCAACAATATGGAATTTGAAGATATCTGAAAATGGAAGCGATCCGAGTCATGATTTAGTTGCAAGTGATCTTATACCCTTAAAAAATTGAGAACTTACCCAGCTTACAACAGTCGCCTGTGCAGGGGTTGGTCGCAAGCCTGCAGCAAATAGGAGTGACTGTAAAGGAAGTAAGAGTGCAGCCCATGGCCCAAATTTCAGTTGTCATTAAGATTTCTTATTTTAGGGTGGGGTGTGGGGAAGACAGAGAATAAGAACATCTATAGCTTATATGATGAATCGTCACTCAAGAATTGTAGCAAATAAATACGTAGTATATACTATATAAGCATACGTACAAATGTAAGCACAAAAAGCAACATATAAAAGATCCAAGGTGCAATATTGACCAGAAATCATAGGGTATTTCCATGCAAGAAATATAAATATTGATTTTAAATACACTGAAGGTATCAGAAAAAAAGACCTGAGTTGAAAGAACTGAAAGGGCTGCACTGGTTAAGTGCTGCAGTGCCCGGAATTGTGTGTATCTGAGATATCCTTCATTTACACTTCACGAGTAAAAGGTACATGAGTAATTGAACCAATTTATGGGCTCTCAAAAGGAATAAACCAATACTTACCTATATGGATATCCCGAGGGAAAAAATTTATTGACAAACGAGTCAGCGACCTTGCGGAATACTGGCCTCGAGTCATCAAGAATCTTCACCTGCAGAAAACTCAATGCAGTTAAAGTAGTTCAACTAAAGCAAGAACAAAATCAACCCACCACGCAAAAAACACACAGGAACACAGCTACTTCAATTAATCCTCTTTCCATTTCCCAAAACCCGAATTCCTACCCGGTCCCCAATTCCCATTTTTACAATGGCTATGCATCGTATTTTGGCCAAAATTCTAAGACATTGTTGAAAAGAAAAAACTACACCTTAGTGTACAATTAACCATTTCAAATCCCCTTCTTTGATTTCCACACTAAGTTTATTTCAAAACCGCTCTGTCTCTCTGTCTCTCTCTCTCTCTCTCTGCCCATTTACACTAAAATCAAACCCAGCAACCCAACACTCAGTGACCGACTTGCATTGCCATTTGACCACAAAGTCCCCAACTTTTCACCAAATTAACAAGAACCCATACCTCAAATCGGACCCAAATTGGAATTTCAGTCAAGGGTGCATCGGCAGCTAAAACTACCGCTTACCCAGGAGAACCCAGAAGTGAACACGCAATTTAAACATGGGGAAGAAGATGAAAAACTTACAGAAAGTTGACCCGTGGGGTCAAACTCCCAACGGTAGGAGACCAACTCGGAAGTTTCAATCCAGTACGCCGGCACCTCAGGAGGGGCTGGAGCTTTATCTGGCTCCTTCTTCTGCATCTTTATCTTCTCCTATCGAATCACGAATGAAAACAATGTATGATAAAAACATATATGTACATGTGTATGTATAGGTGTATGTATAGGTTTAGGGACATACCAGCAAGTTCATGGGAGGGGGAAGAGGAGGAGTGAAATGGGTAACGGGGCACAAGGGCGATAAGATTTCGGCGGCGGAATCGGGGGTGCCAAACCTCCTGGAAATAGTTTTCAACGATCATGCGGCTCCAGCTAAACGGTGTCGTATTTGTTGGATTCTGAGTCCAAGAGGTATATGGAACGACGTCGGGCAATGTAATGGACAATTTGAGTCCCACCAGCAAAAAGGACGTCCAGGTGGATGCATTCCAATACTCAAGTTTATCTTGCGTCACCACGTGTTTTAACTTGATAATACTGCTATCATTGTGTGATTGATTTGAGTTATCAATGCCATCTTGATGTCCAGTTGAATGTATGTTTGTTTGCTCATCTTCTTTTAGTTATTTTATCAAATTATTTCATTTAGTTGTTAGTTTGTCATTTGCAAGTAACGAGAAAACGCATTAATGGTAAGAAGTCATACATATTCCACCACAATTGATTTTATGTGGAAATGAGCATTTACAAAGGCATTTGGCCGAATCTTTGCTTAATGAATCAAAATCCTCTCGTATCTTAACCATTTGAGCTGCAAGCCAGTTGTTATCACTTTCTCATGTCCAATATTTTTTACAACGAATTTGACAGCAACCCAATTTCTCAAGTAAATACTTGATGGCACGATGCAACCTTGTGAGATGGAAAATAAATCAAAACAATGTTGCAAAATTGAAAACTATTCTTCACATGAAATATTCTTCCTATTTGAAGTTTCACATTTGTTCAAGTAACAAGACCTATGCAGAAATAACCAAAAATCTTAAATACTATCAGGGCTCGGGTGTAATACTTACAGCCTGAGATAAGATTAATTACACAAGTGAAAAAGGGGGTTTTGCTTGCCTGATAGGCATGGCTTTCGACAATCAAAAGATTTCTCAATCGAAAGCGCTCGGTCCCAGCTCTTGCTCGCGTAGAGCTCATATGGAAAGGTAAACCATAAGTTCCCCATTCACTATGACATCTCAGCATCATCTTCGTAGTCGTAATCTTGTTCGCTTGAAGGTCTGATTCTTTTCGCGTCCCTTGGTGCAGGTCTTCCCTTCTTTGGCTTTCCTCTGTGACATAAATTATATATTTCAGACAGCGATGCCAGGAGATAGAGCCTCAAAGATAAATGGTGACAATTGATAAAATCTGTTTCCAGCTTTGGTAAAGCTTGAGTAGAACTTTTAACATGCCACTTAACACGTAGAGAAATAGTGGAGTACTTACTGCCCATTCCCATATATGCCGCCTTTGGACCGACCTGGACCAAAGTCTGATCTCCCATCTACAATAAACACAAAGGGACAAATCAATGAATAAAAATTGCAGAGACTGTTGTGGCGTATTTGCCAATATAAGCTTTACCATCTCGTGCAGCCGCAAGTTCTTCAGCCTGAGAAGATAAAAGAGAAACTATGAACATTGGTTTACATGTTTCAAACAATTATTTATCAACGTCAATCCATACACAGAGTCAATTGTGGTTTGAAATTTTAGGTCCACATTCACTTGCATGAATGTACTGATAATGCGGAGATGACATTAAATTACAACAACAAAAGATGAAGAGGACAGTTACAGCCACCATAATGGGACTTTAAATGTTTAGAATACTTACTGCTGGTGATGTAACAGAAGATAATGAAAACATCCTATCTTCAGGCTGAAATTTCCTAGACCGCTTCAAGCTGCAGTCAAAAGGTTTGAAGAAATCCATCCATTAATACGTATCCTAGATCCAAACATGAAAACCTTGTGCAATAACACAGAAAACATCAGTGCTGCATGCTTGATTTAATATAACTTGCATGTGCCATAACTGGATATATAGATTATTTAGGGGAAATGTGCTGTATGAACATTCAATTCAGATGCCATCAGAGCAATGAGTAACGGCCAATCATCTCCCAGCTAAATCATGTCTCTGACATAAAGTAGGCTTGCCCGAGTTATAATTCAAGAATATAATCTATCCAAAAGCTCCTAATATCATATGCAGAGATAATCATTCCATGAATATAAACTCAATATGCGAAACCAAAGGTCATTTTGTGAGTTTTTGTCTATAGATAATGGCGATCACTAGATGAGCTAATACTAACAGTTTTAGCTGCAAAAGTGGTCAGTGAAAGAACCCTGCTAGCAAGAAAAAGATTGCTTGGAGGAATAACTCAACTGGTTAGATCAGAAAGGAAGAGAACCAGAGAGAAATTGAGTAATCAGAGTATTCGATCATGTATAAGTAGCCACAGTACAAAAGAACCAGTTCTTCATGGGAAATAAAGTAGATTGCTTTAGACTATCACGCAAACACAAAAGCCCCATAGGCAAGGGTTAACTAAGGAGGATAACCCTAAATAAGAGTAAAAAGAAAAAAAGTGAAGCCAAAGGAAATGATATATTAGTTAGTTCTTACAGGTTAGTGTTCTTGGATGATGATAGAAACCCTTCAAAACCTTTTAATACATTTCCACATTGAGTTGGATCCTGCAGATAACTAGTCTCCAAATCATAGACCTGCATTGTAAGAAAGCATTAGTTCCAGTAAAGGGACGCATCAAATACGCAGCTCAGCTGCCACTACAACAAGACATAAAAAAGAACTTTTCCATCCATAGCTTGTGCTGCATTTCGATTCTAAACTGTGGACCAAACCAAAAGGAGAAAGAAAAAAATTACAATAAAAATTCCCGTGGCAACATAACCAAGAAAAACTTACCTATCACAGGCGTATACACTCTCTCTCTATCTCTCTCATCATGTGATCATACACTCATTTCATGTAAGTTTTGCTCCATTAAGACACGACACAGAAAAGGGCTTTATTCTTTAAACATACTATACAAAACCAATTAATTTTTTCTTCACTAATTTGCATACATTTCCATCCACAGGTTCTGCTGCATTTTGGTTCTAAACTGTGGACCGAACCAGTAAGAGAAATAACAAAATTACAGCCAAATTTCCATAAAAGCATCATTAAGATGAGAAATGCTTACCTGCCACAGGCTAACCTACAGTTACATGTCACGTGATAAGAGAGATAGACACAAAAAGGGGTTACACACCTGTTTCATGTAAGTTTTTCTCCATTATGATTTATAACACGATAAAGAAAAAGCTTAGTTCTTAAACCATACCGACACACATTTCTGATTTTCTATACAAGACCAATTAAAATCATTTGTGTAACACAAAAAAAAGAAAAAAGCACAAAAGAAAAAGGTCTTCCATTTCAGCTATATCCCCAAAAATGACCTCTAACTAATTAACCCAAAAGCCAAAAAACTCATTCACCAACCCTGAATAAAAGAATAATAAAAATTAAATTATTTAAGAAATAAATAAATAAAAATTTGAACCTGTTTTTCAATCCCTCGGAGTTCATCTTGAAGCTTGGCTCTCCTGCTCAGAAGAGAAGCGAGCATTACCGACGGATTATTGCTCGACGCTTTTTGCGCTGCTAAAAATTTCACACAAAAATAAAAAGAAATCAAATTTTTCATTGATAAAAATTAAAGATCAATTTTTTCCAATTATTTTTTGGAAGAAGAAAATCCCGACGCGTACCTTCTGAATCCATTTTCATCAGGGAATCGTTTCGCAGCTGCCCAGGAACCAAATTTCGCAAAAACCAAAAAACCCCAAATTTTTAGGGCACAAAAATTTTCGATCCAGGAAAGGAGTCGATGTTTCGGGTTTGGGTTGCGGTTGCTCCGGCTCTTTGTTGGTGGAGAGCTCGTGACAATCACGTGACCTTTTCACACTTAAGTAAAATACTATTTGGGAACCACGCATGTACACAAATTTTATGGGTTTTTACTTTTTTGAAAGGTGCTATTGCATATAAAAGGACAATTATTATACTTCAAAATTTTAATTATATATTTTTTATAAAAATAGTTTTTTCTTAAATATAAATTTTAGAGCGTCAATACTAATTTTAATATAGAAATACACTGCAATAAGAACATAGTCAAAATAGAGTTACTTTTTTTTTTTCTTTAATCATTTTTTGGCATCAAAGAGCTGGATCCTACGAGGACATGAATAGAAATACTAGCCAGCTAAAAACATAAAAATAAAAATCAAAGTTATGTCAGTCATGACATCTCTTGATGATCCTCTATGAATTATAAGAAGCTTATGGTATGGCATGAATGCTATAAAAATAGGTTTTATAATCATTATTGTAGAACTTCACGAAACAAAATCATGAGTAAGCACTCATAAGTTTTCCTAGCAAATGCAATCCGAAGTTTATTTCTGTGCCAAAAAATCACGCCCTTCAAGCAACACTTCGTAGTTTTTCATAGATACTCTATGTTGCAGTCTATTTTTTGGATCAAATGATTGTTTAAATTACTTTAATTTATGCTTTTTTAGATAAGGTAGTTATCTAAATTACTCTAATTTGTAGTTATTAGAAGGGAGAGATCAAATTCGAATACGAGGAGAAGAATGCAACATAAACGCCACAATAGCGTTAGTTGAAGCTGATTGCAAATTGTCAATATGAAATTAATTTCTGGTATAAATGTAAGTTTTTATTTCTCATCAATAATAAAAAAATATTTTTTAACCAACTGAACTAACTCACATTTTTTGCATTTCAATTCAAATGAAAGATCGATCATAAGTTGCATAATAATATATTTGTCTTGGCAGTAACAAAAGGTAGAGTCGGTCTCCTTTATATGGCGAGTGGATAACGATGTATATGCAGCGTGGACGGTGGTGGAGGGCGGTCCCTCCCTGAATCTCTGGGTCCCAAATTCAACGTCGGCAGTTTGCTTGCAAGCAAAGCGTTAGTCCTACGCAGCACCATCACCATGTGTACGTATCTTTCAACACCAGAGAACCTCACAGCAAAAGGGTACGTATCTTTCTACCGTTCTATTTTTCTTACCATTTCCTTGTTCTTTTTCTAGACCGCAGAAAAAAGGAAGAGAATAGTATGTAGTTTATTCAGTTGATTTTCTTTTCCGTTGTTTTGACTGGTACAGTTCGATTCGTTTCAGATTTCCCATTTGCTTATCTTTTCTTCTGCATGCCTCATTTGTTCAAATATCTCTTTAGCTGCTAGCCTTCTCTGAATAATCTGTTCGTTCTTGTTCTTGATCAAACTTTCTCTTTGGACTTGAGATTTTCATGGCTGCAATGTCTCTCAGAGGGCTCAGTCGGGTACTCTCTCTCTTTCTATGTTGGTTTTTGAAGCTTCGTTGGTTTCGTTTAATTGTCGGTTTTTGTTTGGTGTCTTGATTTTATTCAAGAGCTCAAGATTATGTGTCAAATCCCATGTTTCTGTAAAGATAATTCAGTTTGATGTAGCTTTGGATGAACCCAATTCATTAATCTATCTAGTTGGTTCTCAAGGAACTTTCTGCAGACGTGAGTTAAGCTAGTTAATCAACGCAGTGTACCTGCACCGTATTCAGTATCCCTCCTTATAAATTAGAGTAGTTTGGGATATCATTGTGTGATCCTTCATAGTCCTGAACTTCTCAGTGACGAAACAGAGGATAGATGTCTAGGCAAAATAGTTACTAAGGCTTTCCTTAGTATTTGGTTCAATTATATAACAGAATTGGTTTTTTTTTTTTTTTTTTTTTTTTTTTTTTTGTGTTTTCCAGCCAAATGCTTCATGTGCCATGGGGGTTTCTGATGAGAGCAAGAACACTTTCATGGAGCTCCAGAGGAAGAAGGTCCACCGCTATGTGATATTCAAGGTTGATGAGAAGAAGAGGGAGGTTGTAGTTGAAAAAATTGGCGGTCCGGCGGAGAGCTATGATGATTTTGTGGCAGCTTTGCCTGATAATGATTGTCGATATGCCGTATATGACTTCGATTTCGTAACTTCTGATAACTGTCAAAAGAGCAAGATCTTCTTCATCGCATGGTTAGTTTTTACCTTTAATCTCTTCACCTTATGATTTATGTATAGACTATGGAGTCACTAATAGTCCTGTTAAAAGATCATTCTCAAATCCAGACGCAGATTATGCTAGTTGGCCAGAGCATTGTGTTTCTTCCTTGCACCCAAGTTCGGAATCCCGCTCCTCATAGATTAGAGTAGTCTAGTATAATGGACGAAATTCCGAAGTTGCAATATTTCAAAAACCTGCAGTTATTTGCAAACCCATATTTTTTTTAAACAAGCCATCCAAAAATTTGCATTTGCACCCTTGATTTCGTATCCAGTGATGATCCCTTCATATAAAATCAGTGGTGCAGAATTCTACTGATGCAAGTTTTATTCCTAAAAAACCGGAACTTGTGTGAGCTTGGAAATCCAAATACTTGTGCTATCTTGAGCTAATTCATGATTATTTACATACTAATGCTCAGGTCCCCTTCAACCTCTCGAATCCGTGCGAAGATGCTCTGTGCCACATGTAAAGACAGGTTTAGGAGGGAGCTGGACGGTATCCACTACGAGATTCAGGCTACTGACCCAACAGAGATGGATCTTGAGGTGCTCAAAGACCGCGCCCATTGAACCGTCTCTGCAGTACTAAAACACATGTTCCTCAGTCAATCAAAGTCTATAGGGTTCTGCAAGTTTGTTCTGCTGGCTTCACTATGTATAGAACCCGTTACCAGCACAAAACTGCATTACTGTTCCTCGAATAAACCGGCAGGTCAGTTAGCTGGTACGAAAGGTATGGTTTGATGTTATCTTCTTGCTTCAAACTTTAATTACCTTTAGGTGGTGTAAACCCGAAAATTGTTGCTCTATGCTTTTGGTTTCTTATGGATTTATGTTTGCGGAGCAAGAAATGCACAACCAGTCATTGATCTTTTGGTCTTGAACAAATTCATAACCCGAAATATATGCTTAATAGTCAATGTAGACGGAAAGATAAGCGAAGATCAACCATGAACTTTAATACAAGGGACAAACAACAACAAAAATACAGAGAAGGCTATGCGGTTTCTACTTTAATGTAATACATAATGATATAAAGACCGAAACAGAGAAAAATGAAAACTTATCCTAAAAAAATTGCTCCATTTGTAGATGAAGTGATGAACAATAGAAACTCCCTTCTCGTCTATGTGATCTAGGGCTACTTTCGATCTCTTACTTCCTTAGTTGTGTTCGTTGCTTTCGCCAGACAGTTCCTCCAAAGATTTTCCTTTGGATTCAGGTACAAAGAACGTAAATAATAAACCCAAAAAGTTGATCACACCCAACATAATAAGTGAGTTCTTGACCCCTATACCAGCAGGAAACCCTGCTTCTGCTTTAGCCTTGTCCTGTGGTTGCGCCAAGAACAAGAATCCGAATGCACCCACCATTGCCCCTAACTTTCCGGCTGCTGCAGATATGCCATGGCAAGTAGACCGCAGTCTAGCCGGGAAAATTTCAGCCGGCACCACAAATGTAGTAGCGTTAGGTCCGAAATTTGCAAAGAAGAAAGTCAGTGAGTAGAATACCACAAACCCTATCAAGTGATGTGTCCAATAATCGTAGAGAAATGCCAATACAAACATGAACACTGTCATGAAGAAGAATCCCATCATTTGGATTGTGAATCTTCCGATTTTATCAATGAAGGCTACAGTGAACCAGTATCCGGGTACAGTACTGCATAGGGCGATAAGCGTTTGTGCCCTTGCAATTCTATAAACCTCTGAAACGGCATTCAAAGTTTTTGCATTAGGAATCCATCCAATGGCGCTGAAAATATCTTTCTGAAACAGATTTTGGCTATAAAATGCAATGTCAAGCAAGAACCATGTGCTTGTGGTTCCAAGCAAGTGGAGTCCATGGCGGTGCCTAAACTCCTTAGAGAATAAACCGAAAGATTTCACAGTTTCCTTAGGCAACCTGACGGGTTCAGGTTCTATGTCAACCTGCAAAACTTTTCCCATATCAGCGTTAGCCTGGTTGACATCTTTTGCAACAAGTGCTGTGTAACGAGCAGTTTCTGGCATCTTTGAGCGCGAGTAGTAGGTTAGAGCTGCCGGAAGTGCTCCAACCATTAGAATGATTCTCCAAAGGTAGTCTGCTTGTGGGACAGTTGAACCAACTGGATCAACTTCATAAGATGGAGCCTTGAATTTGGCCTCGAAAATCGCAGAGATGAGCATTGCAAACAACCCTCCTGCTAGAATTCCAAACCCCTGCATGGCAAACACCGCGGCAACAAAGGCACCACGAGTCTTTTTATTTGCGTATTCAGACATTATGGTGGCGGAAAGAGGGTAGTCACCACCAATGCCGAACCCTAGCCAGAACCGGAAGAAACAAAGTGTGGTCATTACAGACTTTGCGGTGTGCCCAAAGGAGAGCGCGGAACCAATGGAGCATATGATCATGAGCATAAGTGTCATGCCATACACTTTTTTTCTCCCCATTTTGTCACCAAGCCAGCCGAAGACCACTTGCCCTGCCAATGTGCCAACAAGCGCCACGCCATTGACAGCTGCTGACACATTTGGAGGCAATGTGCCTGGTTTTGGTGATCCTTCAACGTGGTAATATATGCGGCCAAGCAATTTGGTGACGAGGGATATGCAGAAGAGATCGTACGCGTCGGTGAAGAATCCCATTCCGGCGATTACAATTGCGGTGAAATGGTACCATTGTGTTTTTGCAGTGTCAAGTGCACTGAGCACATGCAGTTGTTGCTTGGCCATGGATTTAGCTTTGCTTGGTTTGTTCTCTCTCTTGCAAACTCTATTTCTCTGGTTCATCAATATGCAAGAACACAAACAGTAAGATTACATTTACATAACAATGTATGAATAAAGAATGATTTAAATGTGAATTTGATTGTTATAAACACAGAAGATTAAAACACAAGAGTTTCACATTTCTTGAAGAAACTTAAAATAAGTCCGAAAAATTCACATAAAGAGGATATAACTAATTGTTCCCGGAAACTATACGTGCAAGACGTTCATTCTTTAGTAAACAACGGTTGTGCATCAATACTGCTGAAATTCCGTCAACAACATATATGTACGTTTTGTTACAGACAATGATATTGATACATTATCGATGACATATCAACACTCTGTTGATTAATAAAGAACGGGCATCAGTTCCATAGCCAGACAAATAATTCTTCATATGTAATTGAAAGACTGCATTGTAATACATAGGATGGGACCAAAATAATTCCTATAATTAATTTATAAAAATTCAACAATGGTAAATAAAATATGAAAAACATGCAGCTTCATCAAGAAGAAACAAGAACAGGCATGCATAGAGCTGCAGTTTTTCTCCTAACCTGGATCTTCTCTCTCAACCTAGAGAGAGAGAGACAGAAACTCCGACTCCAACTCCGACTCCGAGAGATCTAGAGAGAGGGGTAGGTAATAGGTTATGCTCTAGGGGAAGCAGGGAATGAGAATTTATAAGGGAAGGGTGCGTCGCCCAGCAACCGGAATATTACAGTGGTATATTCTTCCCCTCCATTTTAGCTAGCTGTTGTTTCTCTGCAGTGCAGACCCTTCTGTTCAACAAACTTAAGACATCTTTCAGCGGTATATTCCGAATGTCTGAGAATTTCTAGTAGTAACCAGCAGTAGCCAAAACCGAAAACAGTTTCCATATACATTACCAGAACGCGTATTTCCACAGTTGTCCAATCTCTATATTTAGTTTTCAAATTTGAGGTTGAAAATTTTGACACAAATGGTATGTAATATATGCTTTGGTGAAGGAATTAAATTCCATATAATCTGAGGGGATGGAATATATGTCCTAATTGCTATGCTAGCTAGCTGGAGGATCGTAAAAGATTTCATTACAAGATTCATTTCTGATTTGGGGGGAGATTTTCAGGCATAAGTAATCAATAATTTCTCAATGATTTGGAGACCAAAAGCAAAGAAATTATACAATGATGGTAGAAATAAATGGATTAATGGAACAGTGTGCCGAGTGTACGAATGTACGAACACCCTCTATATTAATTTGGAAAGTAAAAAAGTTCCAAGTTCGAATCCTCAATCACGTTGAGAAGAAAAAATGTACATGACACGTTTTGTTTGACTTCTTTTGAGCATTACAAATATAAGTAATCAATAATTTCTCAATGATTTGGAGACCAAAAGCAAAGAAATTATACAATGATGGTAGAAATAAATGGATTAATGGAACAGTGTGCCGAGTGTACGAGTGTACGAATGGTAGAAATTATACAATGATTAAGTGTGAATGATTGTGCATGCTATATGTTTATCTCTATTATTATGTGACTACGACTACGATCTGATATAAAACACAACTACGATATGATATAAGAGATACTCTGAACAGTGAGAGTGGACTAGCCACTCTGCCTTAAGAGAAAATGTGCAAAACTACCTAAACCCACAAAACAAATTCAACTTTCACATTGAGAAACAGAAAACGGTTGATGATTCTCTTCTACTTTATATACTCGATACTACTTAGTCACAGCTGCGGAGAGAAACATGCGTAACCGCAGAAGACAGTTTCAAACACAAGACCTCAGGTTCAAAGATAAACGCTGACGCTTTACGTACACACATGTTATGCATGGAAAATGCACACTTTATCTGGCATCCTTTGTAAAAGCCAGGACATAGACTCATGTGAATACCACAAAGGACGAAATACCCCTCCCCAAATTGAACTACAGGCTTACATTACAACATTATTTTCTGCACTGCTTATAGATCCAACCTACACAACTGGAACTGTCCTGTTGTTATAGCTTGATTGCTCCAACTCCACTGCCCCGGTTTCGCTTTCTTCTTCGTTCTCGCCCGACATCTCCTCCAACGACCTCCCATTCGATTCAGGCACCAAGAAAGTGAACAATATCCCCAAGAAGTTGACCACACCCAACACAATGAGCGAGTTTTTAACCCCGATGCCTGGAGGGTACCCTGCATCTGTCTTGTTCTTATCTTTGTTCTGAGCCAAGTACAAGAACCCGAATGCACCAACTATGGCGCCAAGCTTCCCGGATGCGGCTGAGATTCCATGACACGTAGACCGGAACCTAGCTGGGAAAATCTCAGCCGGCACAACAAATGTGGTTGCATTAGGACCGAAGTTTGCAAAAAAGAAGGTCAATGAGTAGATCACTACAAACCCAATTCGGTTGTCCTTGTGAGTCCAGTGATCGTAGGGAATAGCCAGTGCAAACATGAACACTGTCATGAAGAAGAATCCCATCAACTGAATTGCAAATCTTCCAATCCTGTCAATGAAAGCTACCGTAAACCAGTAGCCGGGGACAGTACTGCACAATGCAATAAGAGTTTGCGCCCTTGCGATTCTGTAAACTTCTTCAATAGCATTCATCGTCTTTGCAGGAGGAATCCATCCGATCGCACTGAAAATATCCTTTTGGAACAGGTTTTGGCTGTAGAATGCAATGTCAAGCAAGAACCAAGTGCTTGTTGTTCCAAGCAAGTGAAGTCCATGACGGTGCATAAACTCTTTGGAGAACAAAGCAAATGCATTAGCAGTCGGCTCAGCCTTCTGGGGTTCTGCTTGAATTTCTACCTGCAGAACCCTTGACATGTCGGATGCAGCCTGTTTCGCATTCTTTGCAACAAGGGCGGTGTAACGGGCAGTTTCAGGCATCTTCATGCGCCAGTAGTAAGTCATTGCAGCTGGGATTGCTCCTACCATCACAATAATCCTCCACAGGTAGTCCGCTTGTGGAACGGTTGAGGCAAGTGCATTGACCTCATATGTTGGAGCATCAAAATTGGCATTAAACGCGGCCGAACAGATAATAGCAAATATCCCACCTGCTAAAATTCCAAACCCCTGCATCGCAAAGACCGCGGCAATGAAAGCGCCCCGAGTCTTCTTGTTAGCATACTCGGACATGATTGTGGCAGAAAGAGGGTAGTCACCGCCAATACCAAACCCTAGCCAGAACCGGAAGAAACAAAGCGTTGACATAACGGTTTTTGGGGTATGCCCAAATGAGAGACCTGAAGCAATAGAACATATGACCATAAGCATAAGAGTCATTCCATAAACTCTCTTCCTTCCCATCTTGTCACCAAGCCAGCCAAAGAAGAGCTGGCCTGCTAAGGTTCCACAAAACGCCACACCATTTACGGCAGCTGACACATTCGGAGGCAATGTCCCGGGCTTCTCTGCGTTGTCAACGTGGTAGTATATGCGGCCGAGCAACTTGGTCACCAAAGATATGCAGAAGAGATCATATGCATCTGTGAAGAATCCCATTCCAGCAATGATAATTGCAGTGAAATGGTACCATTGTGTTTTTGCTACATCAAGTGCATTGAGAACCTGTAATTGCTCTTTAGCCATGGCTAAGCTAGCTTTTACAAATTCTCTCTCTCTTCTCTTGCTTTCTCACCAGCTTTTTTTTTTTTATCTGCACAATTTGAAGAGTGAGAAAATGAAAAAAATACTTATTGTGCGGAAGCGGCAAACACAACGTAAAATATTCAAACAATAATATAGCAACAAATATAAATAACAAGAGAATAATACAAGAATTTATACCGGTTCGGCTTTATTACACCCTAGTTTGAAGACGGTAAAAAATTGAAAATTAGTATTTACACTTAGTACTACGATCTAATAGTATTTTTCTTTACTTGTAAGTGAAATGTTTTAAATTCAGTTTTCGTCAAACATGAATTTGAACCATATTATTGTTAATCTATTATAAAGCTAAACGCATCTCGTTCTCTATTAATGTAGAATATCGTTTGTAAAATAAAAAAAAATCACAAGTCAAATTCTAAATACATCTAAATATCATCGGAAACACGGGTTTCCAATGAGCGTGATAATTAATCAGTCAATCTTCAACAAAGGGGAAAGACAAAGGAAAAGTCAAACAAGTGTTTAATTATCAACAAGGGAGTTTGAAAATTGGACTCCCAACTCTGACAGGTCACAAATAATTTCTGACTACAGGGCCCTCGATTTTCCTCCAGTTGGTCATACGTTGAAAATTAAATTTTGCCTCACCTAGAATTCCAGGTTCAACCAATTCACTTCATAATTTCTGACTATTCAAAATTGTCACTAATTTATCACATCACAACATTAACTAGAGAAAAAGACTTCTTATGAAGGATACTATAATGAAATGCTAAGGAGATTTTTTCAGAAGTAGAATTCTCCATGTACTCTACCTTTTTATGTTTTTAGCTCAAAGTTTTATATGTTGTTACAGAAATTGACGTTAAATTGAAAAGTGTCAAAAGGTTCATAAAGAGTTAACACTTTGAAAGAATCTTTTTAGCATTTCTCTAACTAACTACACATTCCAAAGAAATTTTATTTGCCACCCCACAAAAAAAGGGACCATTTTATTTGAGCATGAAAAAGTGAAATGATCTTCTGAAACTAGGAAAACTTCCATGCCTACTGGAAAAGTGGAAGAAAAGACAAACAATGAACTCTGCCTCATTCTACCACTGAAGAGGTTTTTGTTTTTTTGGCCAGATTTCTTAAGTGAGAACAGCTCTGGTGGGCCGTTTGGACCACGTCGCCTGTCATACTTTGCTCCTTTAAATTTCATATTAATTTTACTCGGCGTGAGAATTGTCGTACACAAATTTTTGAGGCGTGAACTAGGAAAATTACGTTCAAACTGCCCCACACAAGCAGACAAACAGATACGTACTGAGGATTTAATAGAAGTCCCGAAGTCTCTACCAAACCATTTAAAATATGCACCAACCAATGCTTATCTCTAATAAAATTCAAAATTATTTTAAAATCTTCAACCTTTGTCTCTCCAACAATATCAAAACCGCGTGGAATTAAATTAAATTTTCAATCTTTGCACTCTAAGAGTCTAAAGACTACGCCATTAGAGTGTAAAGTTACTTTCACGAAAAGTTCTTTATACTGTTCATTTTAACAAAAAATCATATTTTTATACTAAAAAAATATTAATCAGGATACTATTTATTTTACCCTTTATTTTGTCGTTCTCGTTAAAACTCAAAATTTTCAAATTATTTTCATTAGTTTTCTTTTAAATTACCCTTCAAACAGAGCGGCCTAGGCCTATTTTTCCAGGGTTGTTTAACCAGATTTCTTGGGATTAAAAATATCAAAACAGTAATTTAATTAGCTTAAACTAATATTTACAGCTATTTACAGATGAAGATTATGAATGCGATTAATTGTTTGAACGGCTACAGAACTTTAATACTCTAAATTCAGAAGATAATCTCAGATCCAAAACTCAGAATTAATACTACTTTTAACTTATTTTTCTAACTTACCTGCATCTGATGCACAATGGGTTTCTAAAAATTCCATCTTTTCTACTTCATCTCTGGTAAGACCCCAAAAAATAAAATAAAAAAAATACAGTGAAAGGAGGAGTTTTTAGAGTGAAAACCAGAAAATTAATTTCTGATATGGTAGCTGACACGTCTGTATTGTAATTTCGAGAGGGGGATTTTGAACTCTGGTACAAGAGGCGGGCAAACTGTCCCGAGACTCTCGTGACTGACTAACTAGCCGAACTCAAATTTCAGAGGTTCATAAATCAGAAGCGGGACAAATTAAGAAAGAGATACCCATGTGAAAATTGCAAAAGGGAAGAGAACCCCATGAACGATATGCTTCGAAAAAGCTATAAATTGTATCTATTCCCAATGACAAAGAAAACCCCACTCACTTTACACTTTACACTTTGCACTTCGAGCTTGCAATTTGCATGCATGACAGAGAACTATGCATGGAGAGATCAGTGGGCTTAATTACAAGATCGACAACAATGGAAGAAAAAATTAAGCATAAATAAAGATGTTTAACATCTAATTAGATAAATTAATTTATTTAATTTGCAGACTAACCTGGGAGCGACCGAGCGAGAGAGAGAGAGAGGTGAAGAAATTTGATGGTGAGACGAGGGAAAGGAGGGGATGCGAATATTTATAGGCGACGGCAGCAGCCAATGCGTTCACACACCAAGGAATTTCCACCGGCATATTCCATTTTCTCCCCGCGTCCGTTTTTATTTTTTAAGTCAACCGTCGCACCCTGTTTTAAGTCTCGCACTCCCCACCTTCCCCGTCTTGCTCGACGATTTCGACACGTGGTCCCCCTCTCTTTATTTATTTACTTCCTTTAGAACATTTTTATTCACCATCATAAACTACGGTCTCATCATACATTTAATCATTTATCATGTGTCATTTCATTTAATTTTAATTAATTTCTTT